TTATGCAGGGATGCCTCTTTCCTTCAGTTTCAACAGTCCTCCCCACTCAGTATTTTTTTTTTCTTTTTCTGTTTTGTTGTTGTTGTTCGTTTGCTTGTTTGTTATGAGACGGAGTCTCACTCTGTCGCCCAGCCTGGAGTGCAGTGGCGCAATCTGGGCTCACTGCAAGCTCCTCCTCCCGGGTTCACGCCATTCTCCTGCCTCAGCCTCCTGAGTAGCTGGGACTACAGGCACCTGCCACCACGCTGGGCTAATTTTTTTGTATTTTTTCAGTAGACATGGGGTTTCACCGTGTTAGCCAGGATGGTCTTGATCTCCTGGCCTCATGATTCACCCGCCTCAGCCTCCCAAAGTGCTGGGATTACGGGCGTGAGCCACCGCGCCCGGCCCTTTTTTTGTTTTTTGAGACCAAGTCTCGCCCTGTTGCTCAGGCTGGAGTGATCCGCCTGCCTCAGCCTCCCAAAGTGCTAGGATTACAGGATGAGCCACCACGCCGGGCCTCAAGACTTATTTATTAATATTTAATTAATTCAGTCTTAGGTGAGCTCTAGGCTAGATGATAGATGCTGAGATTATGAAGACAGGCCTGAAGGGGTTCAAGTTTCCAGGAACCCACAGGTTAGGGGAAGGTGTTTATTAGCATGTGGCCAGAGAGTCAGCCAGACCTGATTTTCATTCTGAGTTTCCACCCAGTTTCTAGCTGTGAGACCAGTCTCGAGCCAGTCTTTCACTTTCTAAGTCTTCGTTTCCTCAGTTGTAAAATAAGAATTATAATATTACCCACCTCACTGGGTTCTGGTGAGGATCAAATGAGATAATATATGTAAAATGCTTAGCATAGTTCCTGGAACATAGTAGTGATTACTTAATCAATGTTAATTACTGTTTATTTTTCAGGAAGTAGGCCAATACATGGATTTATTAGAGTTCAAGGTAGAGAATATATTCTAGATGGGGAAACAACCTGCTGAGGGAGTCTGGTAGGAGATTAACTTTGCCAGTAAGAATAGAGGGAAGCCTAGAGGAGGTGATGTTGCAACAGGGCTTTGAAGAATGAGTAAGAGTTCTCAGGTAGGGACTGAGGAAAGGGAAGAGATTACAGGTGGAAGGAAGACTATCCACAGAGGCATGAAGTTGCAGAAGGTGTAGATATGTTTGGAAGAAGGTAGCACATTTAATAGGGTTTGTAGGACTAGGTTAGAAAAGGGGGGATTCAGATCAGCCTTTGTAGAAATTTTTTTTTTTTGAGACAGAGTCTCACTGTATTGCCTAGTCTGGATTGCAATGGCGCAATCTTAGCTCACTGCAACCTCTATCTCCTGGGTTCAGGAGATTCTTCTGCCTCAGTCTCCTGAGTACCTGGGATTACAGGTGCCCACAACCACGCTTGGCTAATTTTTGTAATTTTAGTAGAGACAGACTTTCAACATGTTGGTCAGGCTGATCTTGAACTCCTGACCTCAGGTGATCCACCCACTTCGGCCTCTCAAAGTGCTGAGATTACAGGTGTGAGCCACTGCACCAGGCCTGTAGGATTTTATGATTCAAATCAAGAGGGAGAAAGAAGGAACATCAATTGAGCTCCTACCACATGCATGGCACTGAATTATAGTGCTTTTTTCTTTTCTT